ATATCCCCGACTGTTTTTGATGTTATTTTAAGGTATATGTTTAAAAATTTTTTTCCCATATTTATTTTAATTTACTTAAAAATGCATTTACCTAAATCATTTATTTCATTTATTTATTTCTTTTATTTCTTTTATTCAATTATTTAATTTATTTTATTTATTTTATTTCTTTTATTCAATTATTTAATTTATTTTATTTATTTTATTTAACTATTTTATTTAATTCTTTAATCTAATCTAATCTAATCATCACTCTTGTTTAAACAAGATTCATTTATGGCGGTAAAGTTGTTTTTGGTGAAAATCTGGATCCTCAACTAGTATTTGATTGTGTCATTGCTGCTGATGAATTAGCCATTCTTGATCTTCTTAAATACGCTCAAAGATACCTTTTAGAAAATCAAATAACTTGGTTAAAAGAAAATCTTGCCTTAATTTATCTTCGTAGTTTTGGAATTGAATCTTTAAAAGATTTACAAGACTTTAGTTTGGATAGAATTAGAAAATATCCAAATTTATTATTTGGTAATGATGATTTTCTTTCTTTAACTGATGATGCTTTAGAAGTAATTATTAAAGATGATGAATTAGAAATGGAAGAATACTCTATTTGGGAAAAATTATTACAATGGGGAATTGCAAAAACTCAAAATTTACATCCTGATTTTACTATTTGGTCAGTTGAAAATTTCATTCAACTTGGTTTAACTATTAAAAATTGTGTTAAATATATTAGATTTGATAAGATAGATGAGGCTATTTTCGCAGAAAAAATTGCACCTTTTAAAATTTCTTTAGGTCCTATTTATGAGGATATTTATGATGATATAGGTTTAAAATCTTGTTCAAAAAAATTATTACCAAGTCGTGGTGCTATTGTATCTACTATTATGAGCTCTCAACATGCTGCTATAATTGCAAGTTGGATAGATCGTAAAGATGTTATTCCGGATGCTGAAAAATCTTTAAATCATTCTTTTTATATTCCTTCACAAATTCCTTACAAGTTTAAATTACTTGTAAGAGGCAGTCGTGATGGTTTTTCTCCCACCGTTTTTCACAAATTATGTGATCGTGTACGTTCAACTATCTCTTTATTTAAATTAGTTAATTCGGATATTTTTATTGGTGGTTATAATCCTGAAGTATGGGATTCTCCTTTATGGCCAAAATATAAATCAAGTGATAAAGCTTTTATATTTTCTTTTACTCAAGGTGGTTCTAATCTTAATGGTCAAAGAAATAATAATGGAAAAATTGGAAGAGTAACTGATCATGTATACGCATTAAATTGTTGGAGATATAATGGTCCATCTTTTGGAAAATGTGATTTGGTAATGCATAATGGTGGTATTCTTAGGTTTAAACATCAATCCTTTTCGCCTCAAATTATGCCTACCGAAAATATTATGATGAAAATTGAAGATTATGAAGTGTTTGAAGTTGTAGAAAAGATTAAGGATAAAAATAATACTGCGATATCATAGAATCATTCAATTTAGATTTTTGATTGTCAAATTGAGAAAGTTTTTTTTTCTTTGTAGATTTTTGGTAATTTAGATTAAAATAGAATGTATGAAAGTATGAGAGTTTTAAATTATTCTTTAGGGATGATATCAAAGTATTGTTATCTCATAATGGAGAATGAACAACTCCCTCTGGAAGGGACAGACTTTTATATTCGCGCCTTTAATAAATATATATATTTTTTTATATCATTACCATATTATTTTCTAGAAAAAAAAATTTGGTGTATGTTTTTTTTATAGTTATTTTGTTAAAAAAAATCCAAATAAAGACATGTAACATTTAAAATATAAAAATATTACATTATTGAATTGTGTATTTCTGTATTTAAATTATTACTAAACGTTACATTTTAGTAAAGAATTTCAATGTTTTTTTAATGTTTTACAAATGCCATTAAAACAACGTACGTACATGTCAATAAATATAAGCTCAAAGCAAATAAAAAAAACTATTAAGAGTTCTAGGATATGTTGGGTTTAAATAATGTAGAAAAAAAATGTAAACATAACATTAACAATTACGAATAAAAAAATTACAAGTAATTAAAGAGCAATTACGAGTAATTACGAGTAACAAAGAATAATTAAAGAATAATTACAAGAGTAATTAATTAATAATTACGAAAGAGTAATTAATTAAATAAGAATTACAAAAGAGTAATTACGAAAGAAAAGAATAATTAAGGGTAATAATAATTAAGGGTAATTAAGAGTATATATAAACACAATCATTAATAATGTTATTATTTTTCCAATGGATTTGGATCTTCTAGTTTCAGAGATGAGAAATATTGGTAAATGTCAAAGTGAGGTTCGTCCTATAAGTAATATTGTAGGAATATCAATACCCTTAAAAAATAAAAAAATAAAAAATAAGACTGATTCAATTAATTAATTACATTATTAGAAGATAAATTTTTTGATTCTACGTTATTGATGTTATTAATGTTATTGATCTCTTTGACATTGTTGACATTGTTAATATTATTGACATTGTTGGCATTGTTAACATTATTGACATTGTTGACTTTGTTGATATTGGTTCCTTTATTAAATCTTTTTTAAAATATTTTTTAAAATATTTTTTGTCGTAAATTCAAAAGTTTATTGGTGTTTTTTTTTTCACATAGATTTAATCGAATAATCGAATGTTTGATGGAAAAAAAAAAACGGTCTAACCTTTTTCCATGAGTGCTAAATCCTAAAAAAGTTCTGTCGGGCCAATGAGGCGTTTCAC